CAGCTGGAAGATCCGCTTCTCAAAGGGTTGCCATGACGTGGGGGAGTCATTGCCTAAGAAAAGTGTGGCTGTGTTCTCTGGGAATGAAGCCGACGTTATCTGTCCCCAAAGTGCCCTACCCTTCTCCGATAAGCAATCTGCCTCTGGGCATGTCAGGAGACAGTGAGTCATTGTTTCTGGGACCCCCTCCTGGCAGACCATACACAGCATGTTGGCTGTGTCGCTTTGTTCCTTGCTCCAGCGTTCATTCAGCCAGGAATTTACCGGTAGTGCCACGTGTGCAATCAGCCATTGTATGCTCTTAACCCTCCCCATGCGTATCATATTGATCAACGTCCATGGAATTCCTCGTAGCTGTTCTGGTGGGACCCCCACCCTGCTTTCCCAACGTTTGGACAGGGTTAGTGGGAAGGAGCAACTTCTCAGGCAGTAACCTATGTGTGTCGTGTAGTTTAATATGTTGGTTATTCTGGCCTCCCGTAGTCTTCCACCTCGCCGGTTCCATGCCCACTCCCCCGGGTCCTTTGACCGCTCATGGAAACCAAGATTGCATGTGGCAGCTTCGCTTACTAACAGAAAAATGAAGCCAAAAGAAAAACCATGTAAGATGAAGAGCCGGAGGGCTCCGGCCTCTCTCTCTCTCTCCCCCCACATGTCTGCTTCCACCTGTTTTTCCTCCATCGCCTACTTTCCCCTGCACGTAACCCTCCCCCTGTCCAACCTACCATGCCCTGTTGACCTCTTCCTCCTCCAAGGGTGAACTGGCAAACACCCCACAAAGTGTGTGTGCGGGGGTAGGGAGGCATATGTGAAATTGTGTGCATCAATCGTAGGCCTAACACCTGTCTCTTATACACATCTAGATGTGTATAAGAGACAGGCACGTAACCCTCCCCCTGTCCAACCTACCATGCCCTGTTGACCTCTTCCTCCTCCAAGGGTGAACTGGCAAACACCCCACAAAGTGTGTGTGCGGGGGTAGGGAGGCATATGTGAAATTGTGTGCATCAATCGTAGGCCTAACACAGCACCATAGAGAGACCACCCTGCTCAAGACACCACGATAAAGAGACCACCCGAAGATAGGGAAGAGAGAAACAGAAAACAAAATGAAAGTATAAAAAAGGCAAGGATGACGACAGACTGTCTCGTCAGACTTGCATAAGCTCATCAGGAGGCTGAACCCTAGACAGTCTGCAGAATCCTGATCTCCGTTTAACCCCTGTCATAAGTGGACGACCAACAATTGACATCACAAGCAGCACGGCAAGGGTGAGGCAACAACACACCAGACTGCAAACAACGGCAATGCAAGGCAAGGGCGAGGTAATAAGGCACGGGGTAGGTGGGCAGCACGATGAGCAGCAAGCAACAAGGCAACGAGGAGGAGGATGCGGACGCTGAGCTGCTACCCACATGCCCCAAATAACAAATTTCACTATTGCAGTGATTTTGACTGATCGCACCTAACCTCTCCAAACGATAGCTTGGTGCTGGGATCAGGTGGGATTCGAACCCAGCGCCTCGCTCAATCTAAGGTAAGTGTGAAGTTTTGTTGTTTTTTAACGTTTTCATTTCTCGCTGCTGAGCAGATTCCAACCTGGGACCCAAAAGTGGAGCCTAGCTGACCCGAGGGTAAAACCCGGTAGGACCCGGATGGCATGCTCAGGGGAAAAAACTTCAAAAAAGTTTCGACAGAAGTAGCGAACCGGCAGGAATTCCAACTGCCGTCTTCCTCCAAACACATGAGGCCCATCGTCGAGTTCATTTCAGTGGAACGATTTCCTAAAAGTATCCGGAATTCATTCAACAATGTGTGGACCAATTTTTTCCGTTCCCCAGCAGTTGCGTGTTTTCTTCCCTCACATGCAGCCCATCGTCGACAAACTGCCTGATCCAGCGATCACATTTGATCCCTGCAAGCATGACGATATGAGCATAATTCAAAAATTACAGTCGCCACAACCGCAATTTATCCTCAGACTCCCTTATACGTGTCACATGAAATCATCAGCAACAGCGACAACGAAAAGTGTGATGAGACAGCATCGGACCTGCTACCTCGCACGTTGAGTTTGTAAAACACAAAAAAAAAAAAAAAAAACACTACCGTCTTCCCTCAAACACAACGGACGTTGCTCATGCTATGAATTATGTACACAAGCTATCTTTCCGGTCCGATGACAGACGCCATTGTGTGCGTCATGTTTGGGGGAAGAAGGTAGGAGGGACAATAACAGTTATAGAAATTATGTCTTTTTTCTCTGGAACATCACTGCTTCTTCGCCTACCAAGAGCCGACACACTTGCACTTGTTAACGACTGGTGCAGGTAATACCCAAACAACGATAGCAGACTCGAGGGCACATCCACGAACAAAACTATTCTCAATTCTGTGAATGACAACGACTTGATCTGCCGAAGTGATGTGAGAAAACATCAACAACAACTGCGACTCACATTGCTCTGCCAATCTTCAAGTCTTTGTCGTTCTCAGAGTCGGAAACAAAGCCTTGGTCAGTAGAGCAGACTGAGTGACAGAAGCAACAACTGTCCCTCACTTTCTCTTTTTCCCCAAAACTAGGCTATATTATTCTTTCGAGTATCCCTGATACACTACCTACCCACATCTACCTAAGCCAGGGTTACATCTACGGAGCAGGGTAACCAAGATCGACCGGCCATATGAACTAACTCCCAGCTAGGACTGGCAGGGGCGAAGGCCTCCAGGAGAACCCACGAGCCTACCAAGCACACCAAATATCGCGGCTGGCGGACACCAAGCACCCCCCAGGCAGCCGATGGGAATTGAACCCACGACGTCCTGAATGCAACTTGCGAAACCAACTGAGCTAGGCCACTGGCCCCAACTGTCCCTCATTTTGATCTGCGGATCAAGCCTTTTTTTTCAGGAAAAAGCGTGCTCGGCTTCAAATCTCATCATCAAATTGACCAGCCCCGGCCCCCAGGTAACTCAGACGTATTTTACTTATCTAATTACAAATGGATCCGAACAGGTCTGTTTATCAACAGTTTATGGGTATACCATTCAGCCACATGGGCTAGATACTGCCAATCGAGCCTGTGCTGTTCCCAGAGTGAGCAACAAGGACTTGACGAGCAGACCCAAGCGAGTGACAGTTGACACTAACTGTCACTCACTTTGCTCTGCTGACTCATTTGTGCTTTCACATGGTCATAAGGAGCTATTGCAACCCAGCCCATGCTGCCGAATGCGAATGGCACAGACATGTCATTGCCACTAACCAGATCATGAGTTCAAACTCTGCTGGACTCATCAGCAGAGGAAAGTGAGAGTGAAAGTTTGAGCAAAGTGACACTGACAACAACAACTGTCACTCAATTTGTGCTGCTCTGGTGGTGGTCCAATTTTGGTCGTTCAGAGAGTTGGGAAGGGTTGTCAGCAATTCCATCGTTTGCTTGAATCTGCTATTGTTGTTCAGGTTGGCTATATATCTTTCGTTCATGAGTCACTCTGTTGCTTTTTGGCTGATCAAGTCCTTGTCATTCACAGCTTCAGAGAGAGCAATCTTCTTGACTTCCACACTTCACTTGAGTATGAGTTGTCGGGATTTCCATTGTTCGCTTGAATCTGCTACTGTTATTCAGGTGGGCTATATACCTTTCGTTCATCAGTCACTCCGCTGCTCTGCTAAGCAAGTCCTCATTCAAAGCATCAGAAAAGAGTAATCTTGACTACCACAATCACCTTGAGACTTGAGTATGTTATTGTTTTTTTTTTCTTTTTTCGAAAGACTGGCCCTCTTGGGCCCGCTCGTTCTATTCTGGGGAGTAGTAGTTATGGATCCATACATCTGGGCCCAAGCCCTCCTCTGTGCAAGCACAGATTCGAACCAGCGACCTCGGCCTCAACAGCCAAGTCTCTTAACCACTACAGCCAGGACACAGTGTTCAAAAGTGGAACCATACCGGTCATGATATCCACCCCACCCCTGCAAGGCTGTAGTGTCCAACTCGACGCACACCACACTCAACACCCACGGACAAGGCAATTCTCGCACACTTCGCTCCAATCAATACGCAACCCCCACTGGTATCAGTATCGTTCCTGTTCCACCGGCAAGCCAGAAATACATATGCATCCTACTTTCTTTTCAGTGTGTTATTGTTGTTTGGGACTGCCACAGCCTTCGGTGAAACAAGTGCATGTGCGTCAGGACTCAGGACTGAGTGCATGGACGCTGAGGAGTCATATGTCTCTGAACTTTCTGCTCACTGCACATAACGCCAATCTCTCTCTCTCTCTCTCTCTCTCTCTCTCTCTCTCTCTCTCTCTCTCTCTCTCTCTCTCTCTCTCTCTCTCTCTCTCTCTCTCTCTCTNTCTCTCTCTCTCTCTCTCTCTCTCTCTCTCTCTCTCTCTCTCTCTCTCTCTCTCTTACACACACACACACACACACACACACACACACACACACAGAGCATCCGAGAGTTGAAAGAGAAATAGGCAATCTATAATGCGACAAACGTGATGAGAGAGCAAGTACAGGTTTCGGTCGGAGTGGGTCAGTCAGAAAGAGTGACCTCGACCCAGCCCATGTCGCTGAATGGCAGACACATGTTACTGTTATAAAACAGATCACGAATTCGAACTTTGAACCCTGCTGGGATCAGCTCAATACATAATGTTAGGGACTACCGCTACTCCTTTATAACAGAAAAAAAAAAAAACGGAAAGGGCTACCATCTGGAAGGATAAACCACCTTCACGTTCCCATGGAGAAACCAATGATCAAGACAAAGGAACCCGCCCACAAACAGGGGTCTTTGTTGTGATCATTGCTTCTACTTGTGAACACGACCATCATTGCAGATGGTTGCCCTTTTCCTTCTGGGGGAGGGCCGAGGATGAGGATGGGGTTACACAATGATTTTACAAGAGAACAGGGCTCTAGAGAGATCTGTTCCCTGTAAGAAGAACCCAAGGCAACCGAAAGCCGCCAGCAACAGTGGATACCTACCTAGATAATTGAAGCAATGAAGTTTCATTGACTCTATGAACTCCAAGCACTCGTTGAGTTTGCTGGTCTCAAACTTCACAAAGTGAAGGCGCCCGCCAACCATGGATGCTCGCAACATGTTCAACTGTGATGACCCTCCTGCTGACAATTGCCGAGCCAAATGCTTTCCCCTTGGGCTTCTACGAATAAAGGCATCAACAGGAAGGAAGCCGAAACCACCCCCCACCGCCACACCAAACGGACATCAAGCCCCCAGAAAACGTAAGAAACCTCAAATACTCGAAAGAAGAACACACTTCAGGGCAATCTCGCGCTCCGACTTTACTTTCAAAAATTTGAACCACATGTCTAGCTCAGTTGGTACACCCCTCAACTGTTGAAACACAGACCCAAGTTCAAACTCCACAGGAAGCCGATGAGTCAAAAATTTGGACCATATGTGTGTCATCCTTGTGCAGGGGCGCCATGCTAATCTTTTCTTGTATCATTCCATTTTAACAGATGACCCAAAGGACACACTGCACCTTTTTTTGATGTCATCTTACTGCAATTATGGTCAAACCAAGTCCAAGAAGTCCTAGTGTGAACACAGCCTTAGCTGACTTGACAAATTTGAAATTTCACTTCATACGTAGAGGCGCTTGGATAAATATTAAATAATGAGCAATTTCAGTGGTATACGGGTAATCGAAAACAAGTTTCAGAAGAAAAAAAAACAAAAAAAAACAGATGCCTTCATCTTCCTAATTCATAATAGCTGCACGCCATGTACGGCATCACTGCCAGGCCTGGCACATAACTTCAGCAGACCTCGAACTCAAACGCATGCACAGAATATACAAATCATAACACCTCTACTATTATTCAAGAGGAAGTAGACTACTTAAAATGTAGAAAAAGAAAAAAAGTTGATCTACATCCTCTCTCTCTCTCTCTCTCTCTCTCTCTCTCTCTCTCTCTCTCTCTCTCTCTCTCTCTCTCTCTCTCAGGATGGCATGGATATGAGATTTGTAACATAAGTGGTTTTTGTAGTGCAAGGAAGATGAGCGATAGCGAACTTCAGAAATCAAACTGCATCATACACATAAGACCAGATAGTTGTGACCTCGAACCAAAAGCAGAATTGCATCACAAGTTTCACCGTATAAGAGTACAGCAAAAGCTCATAATTGACAATGCTGGAATAGTCTCATCATCATCAACGAAGAACCAATGTCGATGTCCTATCTGGCGCTCGGCGCCCAGACTACAGATGGCAGATCCTATCTAGCCTAATCTACAATGCCGCCGATGACGTCAACAGCTCCCCGAAGTATGAGCAGATCTCGACCAATGCCGTACGCTTCAAGCACCAGGTATGTCTCTCGTATCACTCACAACCTCGTTCCCCGACTCACAGATGCCACATGCACCCAAGGACCACCATGCGCCCCATCCAGCATACAGCAGCGCAGCTCGGCTATGGCTGCGTGCTCCTTCCTCTCGCCCGTGAGCGCGTGAGCCTGGCCAGCATTAGCACAGCATGCAGCCAGTGCCCGAATGTCCAATGTGTGGGCAGGCCCTTTCCTAAATGGAAGTGGCCTGCCTGTCTTGCGTGCAGCCTGGCTGCACTGGGTCCCTGCCCAGAAGCTTCGGGTAGGCCCCGGGAGGCTGAGCCTCAGTCCAAACGAATCAGGCCCAGGGCCACCGACAGTTACCCGTGTCCAACTGCCCGCAGCCTGAGTTGGGTCCATGCTGCGTATCTCGCCCAGGGCCTGACTTAGATACATTTGATAAAGGAGGCCAGGGCCTGGGCGCCTTCAACCAACTGGCGCTGCGCAACTGCCTGAATTTTACCCCAGTTGCGAAGTAGTCCAAAATAGGCCTCTTGTCGTCTGTCGAGCCTGCCTTCACTTAGGACGGCCGACCTGTTGCAAATAGCGGCCCGGTAGGGCTTACTGAGGCCTTGTGCCTCGCAGTAGTGTAACATTAGCGGTTTTTGTAGTGTGACAGAGTAGTCATGACGATCGTCAGCACCCCTGGATTGGGCAGCTGCCAGCCAGCCGTCCATTCCACCCGTCGGCACCTACCAGTCGATGGTCATTCAGCACCCCGGAAAAATAAATAAATAAATTTGTGGGATCCATACCCCCCAATTACCCCACCAACACCCCCATTCCCCTCCGTCCACACCCCCATACACCCCCCCACCACCCCCCCCCCCCCCCCCAATTACCCCACCAACACCCCCATTCCCCTCCGTCCACACCCCCATACACCCCCCCAACACCCCCATACCGCCCCCCAACACCCTCATACTCCCCCCATAACCCCCTTAACATCCCCTATACTCCCCCCATAACCCCCTTTACATCCCCTATACCCCCCAAAACCCCCGAATACCCCTCCCCATCCCCGAAAGTTTTTCAGCAGATTTCGGCTGTACTCGGCAAGCACAGTACAGCCCTGAACTCAGATCTGGAAATAAACAGCGGATGGCTCTCTACAGACTGGTCGGCAGACCACCGACCGGCCAGCCCAACCGGTAGGCTGCAAAACGGTGGCGGTCCATGTCGGCGGACGGCAGGTATGCAACCCTGTAGTGTGGGGAAACAATTCTCCACCTCTGATCCACTCATTGTGTGCACTGCCTGCTTCCCTGAAACCAATAGCAAACTAGGAGCCTCAACAAGAAGGGAGACTGCACACTGCACTGTCCTGAAAGCAGCACCATGCTTGGAGGCTATAGCTCAACAAGGAATTCTCGATGTCCGAACCAAGATCAAGGGGTGTACCAAAATTTTGCTTGTTCCTTCTTTTTTATTGTTTTTCAACTTTTTTTAACGTTTCTTTTTATTGTTTCGGACTATTTCTCGATTCATGTGTGTCATCCTTGCACAGGGGCAATGCTAATATTCTCTGTATCATGCCAGTTTTGACGGATGTCCTAAAGGACCCTTCTTTTCTATTGTTATTTCCAGTGTTGCATACCCCAATGGTCAGCGCCCCTTGACTGGTCGGCACCTACCAGTCGGGGGTCGTCAGCATGCCGGCAAAAAAAAAAAAAAAAAAAAAAAA